TGGCTCAGGGCACTCCAGGCCAGCACAGGGGACAGTCCCTGCCCTGTGCCCACCCTGGGGCTGCCCCAGCCCAGGGCCATCGGCCCCCTGCCCCCCTGGCCCCTCTGGGCTCGTGTCCCCCCGGGCCTGTCCCAGCTTTCCAGCCCCTGTGCCCAGCCTGGAGCCCTTGGGCACCCCCAGGGCAGCTCCTGCCCCTCGGCCTGGCCGAGCCCTGGGGGGAGCCCCAGGTTTGGGGTGTGCGCTGAGGCAGAGCTCTGAGCTGGGCTGGGAACGTTCCCCAGGAACGTTCTGGAAGCCTCAGATCCCTCCTCTCCATCCTCGCTGCAAAACCAGAGCGGAACTGTCACCCTGAAATTACAGCCTGCAGATTGTATGGAGCATTGCATTCTAGATTGAATTAATTATTATATTCATAATTCTATTAATAATTATAATTATATAATACATATTATAATTATAATTATATGATATAATAATTATAATTATATTAATAATTCTATTAATAATTATAATTATATAATATATATTATAAATATAATTGTATAATATAATAATTATAATTATATTAATAATTATATTAAATATAAATATAAATATAGTATATAAAAGCATATACTATTATATATTATATATTATATATTATATATTATATATTATATATACTATATTATATAATTGTATATACTGTTATATACTATTACATATAGTATATATTATATATAATAGCATATACTATTATATAGTATTATAATATATTATATAGTATTATTATAATAGTATATTATAGTATTATATTATTGTTTATAATGTTGGTAGTTTCGTTGTTCATTTTTCCTTTTTGCTTTTCTTTTTGTTAAACCAAAAAGGGTGAGATGGAGTACTGTATTTTATATTATATTAATTATTATACTATATATTATATTATTATAATGGCATTATAGAATTATATAGTATATAATATGTTACATACTAATATAATATATTATATACTATATTATATAGTACACACTATTATTATGTACAATATATTATACTATTATTATAATATATAGTATATTATGTATTATATACTATATACTATATACTAGTATATACTCTGATATACTATTATATATATTATATTTATTATATATATAGTATAAATTATAATAGTATTATAATATTACATAGTATATATTACATTATATTCTAATATTATATACTATTATATACTATTATATACTATATTATATAGTATACACTATTATTATATAAAGTGTATTATACTATTATTATAATATACGGTATATTATATATTATATACTAGATACTAAAAGTAGTATATACTATTTTATACTATTATATATATTATATATATAGTATATATTATATATAATAGTATATACTATTATATATATTATATCTAGTATCTATTATCTATAATAGTATATACTATTATATACTATTATATATTATATAGATTATAGATATAGTACATATTATAGTAGTATTATAATATTATATAGTATATATTATATACTAATATACTATTATATACTATATTATATAGTGTATATTTTTATTATATACAGTATATTATACTAATAATATAATATATAGTGTATTATATATGATATACTATATACTACATAATAGTATATACTACTATATACTATATTATATATTTATAGTATATATTATATATAATAGTGTATGCTACGATATAGTATTATATATATTATATATTGTATATATATAATATATATTGTATATTTAGAATAGTATATATAGTATATATTATAATAGTATTATAGTATTATATATAATGTAATATGATATAATATAATATAATATAATATGATATAATATAATATAATATAATATAATATAATATAATATAATATAATATAATATAATATAATATAATATAATATAATAT